CTGGCTTGAAATTCAGTACTGACACTTGTCAACTGTGAGAACTGGGGCAAGTCACTTATCTCTAAGTTTCACTTTGTCATCTCTCAACATAGGTAGTAACAGTACCAACCATAGGGTTCATGCAAGGACCAAGTATGATAATACATGTAAAGCCCCTGACTTATAAATACATGTTCAATAAATAATGATCATAAAAACATGATTATCTTACAAAAGGGACCCAAAAGATCAAATATACTGAATCATGGGCCAAACAGAATGTTGCCATTATGTAGTCCAGGTTGGCAAAATATATTTTTCTTTTTTTGTGCCTGTTTTCATTTTTTTCCTTTTCCCAGTATATTATTCTTTTCTTTCTCTCTTCCCTCCCTCTTTTACTTCTTGAATTTTTTATTTCTTCCTTCTTGCCTTTTTATTATAAAAAATTATACACAAAAGTAGATAGAATGGTATAATGATCTCATGTATCCATGACTTAGCTTCCATATTTACCAGCCCTTTGTCAATTTCTAGACCCTTTCCTATCTTCAAGTTTTCTTTCCTCTATTTATATCATGTCTTTTTCTTTACCTTCACTGGTATATAAATATTTCTCTATAAATTTATTCACCAGAATGACCCACTTGTTGACACTTGACTGTAACAGATCTAGGTAATGTTTGAATCATACTTGAGCTATAAAGAACTAACATATTCACTGTTTTTAGTGTAAAAAAAACCTTAGTTCTCTGACTCTTCAACTCTTGGCAATCTGTGCCATTTTTTCTTAGCTTCTTCAAGCTTATGAAATGCCAAAAGGTGAACATTTGTGACTTAGAGTTTATGTTAGTGATAAAATAAAGTGATTTTACTGTATATTTGTGTTTTCCTGAGATGAGATTATTTACAATTGAAATGTAGTTTTTAATTGATGTTTTACTTCCATTTCCATGTAACATAAAAATTTAAAACTCTTGCAAATTAGTATTTCATGCACAATTAGGACTACGACAGTTATACCTGTAATTTATGCCAAACAACTATGATAAGAAGTCAGAAGATAAAAATTTTAAAAGACACTTATAAGCATTTACTTCAAGTAATACATTATTTTTTTTAAATTTGCAAACACTCTACTATAATAACATGTTTTAATTTGATTTTTAAACGGATTTATTTAATATTAAAAAGAAGGAATTTTAATCTTGTCATTTATACATTTATTAATGTAATATGCATCTATTGACCAGAACTAGGTGTCAGGTACGGCACTAGGAATAAGAAAATAAAAGTGAATAAGAAATTCTCTATGGTCAAGGACCTCACAGTTCAGGGAGTAAACAACTGAAGAATAGAGAGGAGTTTGTCAGGTGAAGATAGAGGAAGATATTCGGAGGAGTAGGCATAGTATGTGCAAAGGCTTGAAGAAAGAAAAAGATGGTCATTTTTGGAAACTAGAAATAAATACTTGAAGACAGCTACCATGTCTAGTTGCTCACTGTTGTATCTTTAGCACATAACATCATAGCAGTTCAATTAATATTTACTGAATTGACTAATTAATAATACACTAGTAGATAAAGTTGAAAACCACTTATGAATGGTTCTACAGGCCACAATACTGAGTTGAGATTTCATCTTACAGTCCAGCGTTCACTGAAATATATTCTATGGAATACCAACTCTTTAAAAAGCTAAGAGGGATTAAGTAGTCGAAAAGAAACATTGGTTACACATTTAAGTTCTTTTTTTTACTTAAAGGCTCCTCAGGTATTAGTATGCTGATGTTGATTTTGATATCTAAGACAGGTTTTTATTAAACTCTGTTTCCCAAACTTCTGTAACTGAGAAACTCCTAACACCTGTTCATACCCTGCCTATAGGACCTGGTATTGTGTGCACTGGCAAGGCTATTCTAGGCAACAGGGATCCATAACTGTTGTTTAGAAAAAATATTTTGGTGCAGAGATTAATTGCAAGAGGATAGGTCTGTAGTTGGGGAGACCCCTGTAGATTATTGTCATTGCATGGGTAAGAAATGCTGAAGCTTGAATGTTGACATTACCAGTGAGAAGCTAGGGGACGTAACTAAATTGATGGGGAGGTACTAGAGAAAGCACCTTGGATGACTTTCAGGTTTCTGTCTTGGTATGGAGATGCCAAGAAAAAGGATAGAGATTTTAGAATAAGAAGGAGTTCTGGTGGGAAGTGTAACACAATCAGTTTTAGGCAACTATGTTTAAAGTTCAAGTGGACAGCCTGAATTAACTATGCAGATTACAATTAGGTATATTGGTCTGGATCTCAGAAGAGACTAGAGATCACAGTGAAAACTCTGGAAACGGCTTTTGTGGAGCTACTCGGAATGTGTTTCCTCTTTCCTCAATAGTCATTTAGATATTTGAAGTCAGCTATCATCTTGGTCAGTTTAGGCTACAATAACAAAATCATAAAAAAATTTTATGATTGAGTGTCTCAGAAACTTCAGACATTTATTTTTGACAGTTCTTCAGGTTGGAACTGTAAGATCACAATGTCTGCGTGGTTGAGTTCCAGTGAGGCTCCTCTTCTGTATTGCAGACTGCTATCTTCTCCTTGTGTCCTCACATGGCATTTCTCTGGGGTCCCTTTTATATGGGCTCCAACCCCTTTCATGAGGCTTCCACCCTCATGTCCTAAGTACCTCCCAAAGGCCTCACCTCCTAATGCCATCAAATTAGGGATTAGGATTTCAACATATGAAGTTTGGGGACACATACAGTTAGTCCACTGCAGCTATCACAGCACAATTAAACCTTCTCTTCTTCAGGCTGCATAAGCCCAGTTGGTGCAAATATTCCCAGCATGAAATCATATCTGCACCATTTCCTCATACAGTTCTTTCCTCTGAATGCATTATAAATAATCAACATTTCTCCTAGGATGTGGTGCCTCACTGAACCTTGTATCATACAATTTCACATATTATTACTTCACTGAGTATCTTTTTCCTGTATTTTCATCATCTCCTTATTCAAACTTGCTCTAAGCCATTTACTTCTACCCAATCCTCAAGCATCCATGCCCCTTGAATTATAACCCCTCTCCAGTAAAGTACCACCACATGAGATTTCTCCATTGTCTGCCTTTGGACAGATAATGTTTTTGTTTTGCCTTGCTTGACTTTAGAGTTGAGCCTTCCTGTTGGAACTGCTTCTTGTTTTCTACCTGTCCTTGTGCATGTGATGTTTCAAACTGTTTCTTGCTCCCAGCAGCATCATTCAAGTCTGACTTTGTGTTATATTATGCGGAGTCTACAGTCAACAGTTTATTCCATGTGCCTTTACACCTGACCTTAGTTATTGTGTGTCCATCCCTGATGCTATACTTGCAACAACCAGCATGTCACATTCATCCAGGAGAAGAGGTTAGATAGGGTTGTATGCAATTTCCTTAAAAGCAGGAGCCATATGTCATTCTTTGTATTCCCAGGGTCTAGCACCATGCCTGACACCTATTGACAATGACATTTAGTAGGTGGATGGATGGGTGGGTTGGTGATTGTAAGAAAGTGCTCTGCTTCTGACCATTTAACATATGACATTTTATCCTTCCACATAAAGTTTTGCTTGAAAAAGAGTTCTTATGTTAAACCTATTAAAGAACTAGTGCTTTTAGAAGATGCTTTAACAGAATTAATTTTCTTTTGTAAAACTTAGGGAGGAGAGATAACTGCAGGGAATATTCAGGCATTTTCTTTTTTTTATATTTATTTATTAAGTTTTGGAGGACCTACTACATGTGAGCACCAGCTTTGGCACTTTACATTTAATTTTCACATTACCTTGTGAGTTATATATTATTCTTCTCAATATATAGATAAGAAAATTAAAGCTCAGAGAGCTTAAGTGGCCAAAGCTGATGAATGGTGAAGGTGAGATCATGTTCCAGTTTTTTAACCCTTATTCAGTGTTTCTTCTTTACATTCTGGAGCATGTTCTCAGTGTCTTTAATGAGTGCTATGTCACGTAGACTAATTATTTCCTTTTATTCTTATGTTTTCTTAACTTGAAAGGTGGCAAATGAGAGACTATAAAATATCTGAGAATTTGTGTTACAGGAAAATTGATTATTTCTTAGGAAGTGGATGCTCTAATTACTTTCCTGAAGAAGAACTTTTAAGACAAATCACGTTATTGGTTCCACTAGTGATGTAATAAGAAGGTACAATGCTAGAGTAACTCAAAACATTATCTTTTCATTTTATAATGTAGAGAAGAGTTAATGTTGACACATACATCTATAAAAGGATACGTTTTATTGAAGTATTTCAGATTGAAGATAAGGAAAGTGAAGAGTTGTTGACTGATAGAACCGAAATAAATACATTAAAGCACAACTGTGAAATATTACCATATAAAGTGAACTCTTGCCTGGTTAAATGTGATGTTTTGTTTCAGAAGTGAACTCTAAAGTGATTGATAATAGTTTAACACTTAAAATTTTTGTCAAAGTCTAGAAAAAAAGGAATAGTTAACATCCACAATTCATCAACTATAATGAACTTAATACATTCCTACCATTTATTATCTATTATCTATTAGCTGCTCCATCTCATGTATCTATTTATTTTTCCCAACAACCTTAGGAGGGAACTGTACATTTTATTGTAAAGAAAAATGGAGGCTCAGAGAGACTTTCTCAGGATTCCCCCGATTTAAACCAAGATCTGAGCTAATGTACACATTTAATCTCCATTCTATACTGCTTCTTGGGCATTAATCATACGTTGACACTTCTTTTTCCAAATTCTCTTATTTGATAACTCTAATGTTCATAATAATGACAAAAATTAATTCTTCATCTAAGAGAATAAAATAATTATCAACTTTCTCCAGGTAGCTATTTAAACTTTCTACTTCATTACTGTAGATCTCTATGCAATACTTATTGGTATTATATGTTGGGGTTTAAATAAAATGTTTATTTTGTGTAGAAAAGCAAAGGTGGCTAAGGAGGTTTTGCTCTGGATTGCTCTGCAGATTTTGCTGATAAAACTTTTGGACTAACGAGGCTTCAAGATGGCTGACTAGAAGTATCTGGCTCTCCCGTCCTCCACAAAGAAGAATCAAAATAGTGAGTAGATAATCAAACTTCAATTAGAGCATCTAAGAAAGAACAATGACATTCAACAGAGAAGTGATAGGAAACACCTGAGGAAGAGAAGAAAGGCGAAGTCAGGCAGCCAGGTTGGCTGCAATTGGAGACTCCCCAGTGCAAGGAAACGATGGGTGAGAGATTCTAGTGGTCCACATTTTCACTATGGACCCCTGCAATTCTAGCCATGAGAGAGTCCCTAGACCCTCTTGGGCCCTGAGAATAGCATAGGGAACTTCATGAAGATCGCACAATGGCATTGCTCCAGAGAGGAAGCTCACACTGGGTCCTGCACACTCCCTGAGACCTAAGTAGCTGTAGCATAGCACCATTTAGAGAACCCAGCCCAGTGTGGACTAGACTGCATCCTGCCCTAGGGCCCAACGGCCCCGGTGTCTCCACATCTCTGAAGTCCCACTGACATCTCCTAACATTCACCCAGAGTGTAGCAGAAGTATGACACTGCGGGGTCCCCAGCACCCTAGCTCATGCAGTGTCCTATGCCTGAGGAATGGGTGGTGCAGCACACTGGGGAGGCTGCCGCTGGGACAAAAGGAACCAAAGTGTATACCTCTGGAGCCTGAGAGCAGTCTGCCTCAGAACATTCTCCAGGCTACCCCATATGGTTACATATGTATTTCAATGCATGTCCTTAACTGTGTTTTTATTGTTGAGTAGTTTAAGTTCTTTGTACTCTCTGGATAATAGTCTATTGTCAGATGAATAATTTGCAAATATTTTCTTCCCTTCAACCTTTTGTCTCTTCACTTTGTTGTTTCCTTTGCTGTGCAGAACTTTTTAGTTTAACATAGTCCCATTTGTCTATTTTTTGTTGTTGTTGCCTGTGCTTTTCAGGTCTTAACCATAAAGTCTTTGCCTAGACCAATGACCTGGAGTGTCTCCACTATTTCTTTCTCTTTTGGATTTTTTTTTTTGAGATGAAACCTTGCTCTGTCAGCCAGGCAGTGGCATGATCTTGATTCACTGCAACCTCTGCCTCCAAGGTTCAAGCGATTCTCCTGCCTCAGCCTCCTGAGTAGCCTGGATTACAGGTGTGCTCCACTATACCTAGCTAATTTTTGTATTTTTAGTAGAGATGGGGTTTCACCATGTTAGCCAGGCTGGTCTTGAACTCTTGACCTCGTGATCTGCCCTCAGCCTCCCAAAGTGCTGGGATTACAGGCGTGAGCCACCGCTCCAGGCCCTCTCTTTTTGATCTTAAGTTTAAGTCTTCAATCCACCTTAAACTGATTTTTGTATATGGTGAAAGATAGGCTGCTAATTTCACTCTTCTGCATATGGATATCCACTTTTCCCTTCACCATTTATTGAGAGAGTGTCTTTTCCCCAATCTATGTTTTTGAGGCCTTTGTAAAAAGTCAGTTGGTTGTAAAAACATGAGTTTATTTCTAGGCTTTCTATTCTGTCCCTTTGGTTTATGTATCAGTGTTTATGCCAATGTTTTGGTATAAAAATATTATTATTATTTTGATTACTATAGCTATGTAATGTAATTTGAAGTCAGGTAGTGTGATGCCTCCAGGTTTATTCCTTTTGCTTAAGATTGCTTTGAATATTTGTTTTCTGATCCTATAAAAATTTTATGATTTCTTTTTCTTTTCTGGTTCTATAAAAATTTTATGATTTTTTTTCTTTTCTGGTTCTATAAAAAATTTATGATTGTTTTTATCTTTTCCTATACAAAATGTCATTGTTATTTTGATTTTGATAGGAATTGCATTGAATCTATGTATTGCTTTCGGTAGTATGATTAAATTAACAATCTAAGTTTGTCCAGTCCATGAGCATGGGATATCTTTCCATTTGTTTGTGTCTTTTTCAATTTCTTTTGTCAGTGTTTTGTAGTTTTCCTTGTAGAGGTCTTTCACCTCCTTGGCTAAATTTATTTCTAGGTATTTTTTTGGTAGCTATTGTAAATGAGATTGCTTTCTTGATTTCTTTCTCAGCTAGTTCATTATTGGCATATGAAAACACTACTGGTTTCTGTATGCTGATTTTGCATCCTGCAACTTTACTAAACTTGCTTACTAGATCTAAAAGGTTTTTGGTGTAATTATTAGGTTTTTCTAAGTATAAGATAATGTCATCTGTAAAGAGAGACAATTTGACTTTTCCAATTTGGAGGCACTTTATTTTTTCTTCTTGCCCAGTTTCACTGGGTAGGACTTCTAGTCCTATGTTGAATAGGAGTGGTGAAGGTGGGCATCCTTGTTGTGGTCCAGTTCTTAGAGAAAAGACTTTCAGCTTTTCCTCATTCAGTATATTAGCCATGGGTTTGCCACATATGGCCTTTACTATATTGAGTTATGTTCTGTTAGGCCGAGTTTGTTGAGTATTTTCATCATGTTGAATTTTATGCTTTTTTTGTGGTCATGTAGTTTTTGTTCTTTATTTTGTTGATATGATGTATCATGTTTATTGATTTGTATGTGTTAACCATATTTACATTCTTGGGATAAATCTCACGTGATTGTGGTATATTATCTTTTTGATGTGCTGTTGGATTTAGTTTGCTATTGTAGTATTTTTTTGAAGATTTTTGGATCTATGTTCATCATCGATATTGGTCCATAGTGTTTTTATTTTGATAGATTGATTTTTGTTGTTGTTGTTGTTGGATCTCTGGTTTTAGTATCAGAATGTTGCTGGCATCATAGAATGAGCTGGGAAGAATTTCCTCTTCTTCAAATTTTTGGAATAGAGAGGAGAACTAATATTCATTCTTTTTTTGTAAGTTTGGTTAGAATTTGGCAGTGAAACTATCTGGTCATGGACTTTTCTTTGTGGAGAGACTTTTTTTTTGTTACTGGTTCAGTCTTGTTACTCATATCAGTCTATTCAGTTTTCCTTCTTTTTAAATTCCTTCCTGGTTCAATCTTGGTAGGTTGTATGTTTTCAAGAATTTATCTATATCCTCTAGGTTTTCTAGCTTGTTAGCATATGGTTGTTCACACTAATCTCTGATGATCTTTTATAATTCTTGCTATCAGTTGTAATTTCTGCTTTTTCATTTCAGATTTTATTTATTTGGCCCTTCTCTCTTTTTTGGGGGGTTAGTCTTGATAGTAGTTTACTAATTTTATAGTTTAAAAGAATTAACGTCTTGTTTTGTTGATTCTTTGTATCTATTTAAGTCTCTATTTTGTTTACTTCTCTGATACTTATTATTTTTTCCTCCTATTAAGTTTAGGTTTGGTTTGTTCTTGCTTTTCTATTTCCTGTAGGTACATCATTGGATTGTTTTATTTGAAATCTTTCTGCTTTTTTGATGTAGACATTTATTGTTATAAACTCTCCACTTAGCACTGCTTTTGCTGTCTTCCTGGGTTTTAGTATGTTGTGTTTCCATTTTCATTTGTTTCAAGATACTTTTTGACTCATTAATTTCTTTATTTACCAATAGTTATTCAGTAGCATGTTGTTTATTTTTCATGCATTTGTACAGTTTCCAAAGTTCCCCTTGTTATTGATATCTAGTTTTATTCTGTTGTGTTCTGAGGAGATACTTGGTATGATTTTGAATTTTTGAAATTTCTTGATACTTGTTTTTTTAGCCTAGCATATGATCTATTCTGGAGAATATTTCATGTGCTGATGAGAAGAATGTATTCTGCAACTGTTGGATAAAATGTTTTATAAAATGGTTCTGTTAGAATGCTCCTAATGTTAGTTTTATTTTGTCTAAAGTGCAGCTTAAATCCAACGTTTCTTTGTTTACTTTTTGTCTAGATAATCTATCTAGTGCTGAGAGTGGAGTGTTGAAGTGCCTAACTATTACTGTATTAGAGTCTATCTCTCCCTTTAGATATAATGATATTTGTGTCATATAATTGGGTGCTCCAGTGCTGGGTGCCTATACATTAGAATTGTTATATTTTCTTTCTGAATTTCCCCCTTTATCATTATGTAAGAATTTTCTATGTCTCTTTTTACTGTTTCTGACTTAAAGTTTATTTTATGTGATGTAAGTATAGCTACTCTTGCTTGCTTTTGGTTTTTGCTTGCATGAAATACTTTTTTCTCTTTACTTTTAGTCTATTATGTCTTTGCAGATTAAGTGAGTTTCTTATAGGCAAAATTTGGTTGAGTTATTTTTTTTTTTCTTTTCTCCAAAGGTGATTCTCAGGGCTTCAATATTTATTTATTTATTTATTTGTTTGTTTATTTATTTGTTTATTTATTTTATTATACTTTAAGTTCTAGGGTACATTTGCACAACGTGCAGGTTTGTTACATAAGCATACATGTGCCATGTTGGTGTGCTGCACCCATTAACTCATCATTTACATTAGGTATATCTCCTAATGCTATCCCTCCCTGCATTCCCCACCCCACAACAGGCCCCAGTGTGTGATGTTCCCTACCCTATGTCCAAGTGTTCTCATTGTTCATTTACCACTTATGAGTGAGAACATGTGGTACTTGGGTTTCTGTCCTTGTGATAGTTTGCTGAGAATGATGGTTTCCAGCTTCATCCATGTCCCTACAAAGGACATCAATTCATCCTTTTTTATGGCTGCATAGTATGTCATGGTATATATGTGCTACATTTTCTTAATCCAGTCTATCATTGATGGACATTTGGGTTTGTTCCAAGTCTTTGCTATTGTGAATACTGCCGCAATAAACATACATATTCATGTGTCTTTATAGCAGCATGATTTATAATCCTTTGGGTATATACCCAGTAATGGGATGGCTGGGTCAAATGGTATTTCTAGTTCTAGATCCTTGAGCAATCGCCACACTGTCTTCCAAATGGTTGAACTAGTTTACATCCTCACAAACAGTGTAAAAGTGTTCCTATTGCTCCACATCCTCTCCAGCGCCTGTTGTTTCCTGATTTTTTAATGATCGCCATTCTAACTGGTGTGAGATGGTATATATCATGGTGGTTTTGATTTGCATTTTTCTGATGGCCAGTGATGATGAGCATTTTTTCGTGTGCCTGTTGGCTCATAAATGTCTTCTTGATGAAGTTCTGTTCATATCCTTGCCACCTTTCTTGAGTGGCCTTTGTTTGATTTTTCTTGTAAATTTGTTTAAGTTCTTGTACATTCCTGGATATTAGCCCTTGTCAG